TACATTAAACTCTTTATATTTATATATGTATATTATCACATACCTTGAGTAAGAAAATGATATCTAGACCTTGAATTGATTGGAGTTGCATATGGTATTATTCTCAAACCCTTAAAGATTAAAATCTAGGACTTAAATTTATAAATCTCATACATAAGATCGATTTAATTATAAACAAAAATCAATGGTCATGATTCGTTAAAATCTATGCAACAAATTACATGCACAATCTTAGGGGTTAAGCTCTATGATTTAGATAACTAAGACCTAGTGTTCACTCATCAAGGATTAGGGTATAGTATCATGCCCAAAAATCCGGTTAATTCGTGGTCCAGATAGCGTTTTCTTAGTTAGAGTATAAGATCATGCTTAGATATTGACAATAGATGTGGCATTACACCAACAAAATGAAGATATTAGTATAAGTAGTGGATTTTTTTATGGTTAATATTTTCGTATGGCCTGAACTTTGACCAAAATAAACATCCTGGCCAATCTTTTCGATCTATAACATCCTGGCCCGAACTATACACCAAAATAAACAATTTGGCCAAACCCGATGTTTGACCGTTAACTTGGAAGGTCAAACACGTTGACTAACGGTCAACGCGCCACGTCATTGCCAAGTCAGAAGATCCGATAAATATTTAATTGTTTTCGTTTTTTATTTTTGGTTTAACTAAGTATTAGATGATTTTTTAATTTATAATAATTTAAAATTAGGGAATGTGTGGAAATTATGAATTATTTTAAATATTTTATGCTGACTTGGTAGTGACATGGCGCATTGACTAAAGGTCAACGCTTTTGACCGTCTAAGTTAACGGTCAAAAGTCGGATCTGGCCAAATTGTTTATTTTGGTGTATAGTTCGGGCCAGGATGTTATAGATCGAAAAGATTGGCCAGGATGTTTATTTTAGTCAAAGTTCAGGCCATACGAAAATATTAACCCATTTTTTTATATCTCAAATCAAACACCAAAGATAAATAAATTTTAGCAAATGCATATTTGATAAGTTAGAAAATTATACAACAATGAATCATGTTAAGATTAGGACCCTCGACAGTGTGTGAGTATCTTGGACCGAGATTCTAAACCAACATCTAAACAACGACCATGAGTTGAGAGTGGGTCTATATTAAACTTCGGGAATTAACAATTGGTACTTATTGTATAAGATATTAAATTGAGTGTCTTGATAGACAAATATGATCTTATACTAAGACAGTAAACTTTCAATTGGGTTGACCAAATTTATGTAATATTGAAGCACCTTTATAGAAAAATTCTAAATAAGTTGTCGTCATCTGAGCAACATCATTGGTTGAGAGTTCGTCCAAACTCGAGATTCATTGAATGGCATATATTGTATAAGACAAAAAAAATTGAGTATCGTTATTGACAAATCTTGACATAAGATTCTATATGGGACGTGATATATCTTTTGTGACATGATTTATGATCAGTGAATCGAAGCATCATAAGTGAATGTGCTAAGTATTGAGAATTTTTAATTCATAGACGCACCGCATACTCACCAATGAATGCAAATGTAAATTTTTTAGAAGATCCAAAATAGTTTAAACATATAGATTAATTGATTAATGTAAATGGCAAAATTAAACTCTCCGGCCAACGGGCCGAGTAAAAAGCTAGTAGGTGCTGAAATTGAATATCAGTTGTAATTAGTTTCTTGTAACAGATATTATGGAGTTTCTTTTCATTTCTTGGGATGAAGAAACTTCATCTTCTCCCCTTTGTTCTTTTCTCTCTTCATCTTCTCCCCTTCCAATTTCCCCATCGCTGGAGCAATTCTCCTCTTTCATTTCTCCGATCAGTCATGATGTCTGCCTGTCATCGTCACCGAGTGCATCACTTTCCTGCTCCCTTTTCTAACTCTCTTCTCTTTCTCTCTCTGTTTTTCCCGTGCTTATTTGATCGTTCCTTCAGCTCCATGGATATATGTTTACTGTTAATGTGATTTTGATTTCCCCTTTTCATCTAAGCTTCTGGTTTTTCCTTGGTGGCGATGAAAGTTATTGATGGGGCTGCTCGTGGCCTAGGGTTTATTGGTCGATAGTCAATTCGGTTGTCCTTTTCCGAGTTAATATTCCTTCCATTTTTCATTTGAGCATATTCTGTTTGCTGAAGTTAATAGAGTTTATTGGGGATCTGTCTTCTAAGATCGAGGATTCGCCTCAGTGGCGATTGCTTCTATTACCCTGATGGCAAATTGAGTTTATTGTGTGCAGATTGAACAGATTGTTTTTGCACCTGAAAAGGTGAGTAAACATAATAAGAACGACATTTCTTGTCGATACGGCCTGTGGCCGGTGATTCTGATCCTTCTTTGATCGGATAAGCTTCCCTTTTTGAAGCTATAATACTCTGGAGAGTGGTTTGAGTACAAGTTTATCTTGTCATCTTCCCCTGCTTACATAGCTTGGGTTCGAAATAGTGCAAATTGGAACTTTAAGAGGGAAATTCACATTCCTGCTCTTGACAATCTGCCGAAGGGAAGGAATATGGAAAATGATGGATTAAGCTAACTTGGTCTCCTCTGCGGTTGTTCGAACAATTGACGGGGAACCCCAATTCCGTCGGCCACGACGACGACAAGTTTTGCTCTCCGATGAACCGTTACAAGTGATTAATTGCGGGATGATCTGCCATTATTTGGTGTTTAAAGGCATTTATTTATCCTAAATAAATTAAAAACATTATTAAATTTTGTAATTATACTAATGAGTCCTTTAGTGAGCCATTATTCACGTTCATGACACTTAATTCGGAGAGGGAGGACTTTCCGAGTTTCTCTAGTGAAGATGTATATTCACCGGGTGATTTTTGCTGATCCTCATTCATGAGTTTATTTACAATTAATCATGTCCTTGTCGCTAAAACCAGTAGGCCTCCCTTACTGGTAATTGGCCTCGTCGACAGGAAGTTTTCGATGAGACGATACAAATGAGTCATTAAAGCGACCTCTTTATGACACTTTACGACTTTAAATAGTCGGTTTAAATTCTCATTTTGGGATGAAAAAATATCTCATTATGATGCTTTACAATCATTAATGGTCGGTTTACATCTCATGTTTTAGATGAAAAGAATACTAAAATGTCATAATGTCATGGATCAAATTCAATGTGGGAGAGGAGTTTAAGAAGCCAATTATTAAGCTTGTAACCTATTTTCCCATTAATGACGTCCTAAGTCTAAGCATGGTGAACAAAAGGAACATTGAAGCGTCTTTTGAGTGGCCTGTAGGGTTTTTAATAGCCTCCCCAGTTTTGGAATGAGAGGAATATTAACAACCTATTTCTAGTGAGCTCTTAAATGATAAATCCCAGCTCGCTGAAGCTTGTGGGACAGAGCTCGCAGCTAATAAAACCTCGGCCCCGACTGTGAATTTCAGTCTCTGGTGGCGACATGTTATGCTTTCTGAGCACCCCCAAACCCACGTTCTCCTATACGTTTGCGTATTGTGGAGAATCTGGAAGTCTCGAAATAAGGTGGTTTTTAGCATTATCAGCCTCATGCCCAGTCTCTAGCTCGTCAATGCTTTTTCCAAGTCTGTGTAGTCTCTTCCTCTCACCCTCCGGTACCCGTCCCTCCCCTTCAGCCCTCAAGCTCCCGCCTCACCTCCTGGATCCCTCCTCCTGTTGGCTATCTGAATATCTCTTTGGTGCTGCGGTTCGTGCTTCCGGTTGCTCGTCTGGACTAGTGGTTCGTAGAACAGATGGGCATTTGGCGTTGGCAGTAGGGTTCCAGAACCCAAGCATTGTTGACCCCTACCTCGCAGAACTTCTTGCTGCTCGAGACGCTATCTCCCTCTTGGTCTCCAAGTCCCTTGTGTCTTCATCGAAGGTGACTCGGAAGTGGTGATTCGTCAGCTTCGCCAAGGCAGTTCTTCAGGTTCCCTCGGAGGTCCGGTGCTACGTGATTGCTTCCGGCTCTTGTCTTCAGTTTCTGTTTCCTTAGAGTTTAGGGCAGTTCCTAGAACTGCTTACGGGGCTGCCCATAGAGTGGCGCAATAAGCCCTGTTTCTTCTCCTCTTGAGATTGGTTCCTTCGTATTTGTAGGGTGGCTTCGCTGATGTATTGGTTTGGGAGGGTTTTGGGGTAGATTGTATAGTTTTTTTTCTCTCTTGACATTTCTTGGAAAAAAAAATAAATATTATGGAGTTTCTTGTAACAGACCTTATGGGTGGGTTACCCGCACCCAACCCACAACCCATTAACTTCGAGTTTTATCTGTGTTTGATCATATTGAGCTGGATCGGTTACCTACCTCCAACCAATCCAACATTAATAGAACGAATGTGACATTGTAGACATAGAGCTACCGCTGAATCCAGTTCATAGCTCCCCAGGACCTATAGAGAGTAAAAAATTCAAATCAGAACCCCATTAAATCGCCGGAAACAGAACCGGCGAAGCCACCCGCCAAAGGAGATCTCAATGCAGAGGAGATAGGAGAATCAAAATCGAGAGCAGGACAACTTTACGAGCTGAGAGAGAACAAGAGCTCCTGGCAGGACGGACATTTACCCTTAAACACATATATTATACAGTAGATTTAGCATGTACATTTGCCCTTAAATACATATATTATACAGTGTTTAGTTCCACCCAATAATTACATCAACTAGTGGACGTGCCAGAGTGGTTATCGGGCATGACTAGAAATCATGTGGACTTTGCCCGCGCAGGTTCGAATCCTGCCGTTCACGATTTTACCAAAAGTTTTTTCTATATTTTCTTAACAGGTCTTCATCTCCTAAAATCTCGGTGTTATTACTATAAAGCCCATCTTTTTAGTATTAAGTATTGCCCACCAATTCATTCTAGAGGGATGATTCTATTTTTACTTCAAGTTCACGAATGATCACAAAATTGCTGTCCACGATTTTGCTTAAAGATTTTCTATATTTTCTCAACAGTCCTTCTTCTCCTGAAGTCTCGGTGTTCTTACTATAAAGCCCATCTTTTTAGTATTAAGTATTGCCCACCAATTCATTCTAGAGGGATGATTATATTTTTACTTCAAGTTCACGAATGATAACAGAATTGCTGATGTAGAAAAAGGCTTTAAGGAGACCTAGCCTAGCCAGGACGTGAAAATACATGTTTTCAAGGTGCAAAACTGCGTCACAACTCACACCTATTTGCAGGCTGCTGAATGATGTCGGCACAAACCTGTACATACATCTCTTCATATACATGTCCAATCGGTGATTGCATTGTAGCAAAAGGACGTATCTTCATAAACACTTCCGACTTGTGATCAAATTTTAGTTTGAACTAAAAGGATTGCCACAAAACTTAGACTATCAGGTTTTTTAAGTCAGAGAACAACAAGTCCCTAGACATAAAAAAAACCTGATATGAACCCAATCATTCAGGATCTTGATACACACGGCTGGCTAAAATCATAACCACAAACCCCACGCAGACACAATAAGAAAGTTACAGACCATGAAACTTAAGGCAGCAAGATGTAAGCCACACTAGTCACTACTAGAAAGGGGTGAAATGTAATCGTTTGAATTCTTTCCAGAGGACAAGCATATGAAATGTTTTCACTTCCACCTCTTGAAGTGTTTCCCACCCTTGTGCTTTCCAAACATCCCATGCTTGCCAAACTTCCCATGCTTGAACTTGCCATGAGGACCATACCCTCCTCCATATCCATGACCGTACCCTCCATATCCATGAGAACTATGAGCAATGTGATGAGCCCCGTATGCAGCAGCTGCAGCCGCCGCTCCTCCTGCCAACATTGCCCCCATACCGCCCCCATGCCCTGCCGATCACAATTCACGAGATCATCACCAACATTCAACACAATCATGAACGCAAAATGGGATCGATGTTGGTACATCTGACAAGTCTATTCAAGAATCAAGGGTGTTCCTAAATCAGGGCATTTGAACATACCAGATTGATGGGAAGGACCAGGATAACCAGCTGGAGGGTAACCGCCATGTCCTCCATGGGAAGGATAACCACCGTGAGCAGGAGGAGGGTATCCGCCGGGGGGAGGATAGCCCGCAGGAGGGTACCCTCCATGGGGAGGGTATCCGCCGTGGGGTGGCTGTGGGTACCCATGTGGAGGAGGGTACTGAGGGTACCCCTGTGGCGGGTACCCTTGTGGAGGATACCCTCCTCCATGCTGAGGAGGGTAATGTGAGCCCGCTGCAAACGCACCTAGGCTTGAAAACAAGCCCTTATCGGTAGAGTCATGCTCATTGCCTTTGCCGCCTCCCATTGTGTTGGGATCAACTACAGTTCAAAAGCTAGAACAGAATACCAAATTCCATAAGATAGGCAAAACCGTTCCAGCCACAGAAAAAATCATGTATGTGGCTCTATGTATGGAACCCAGATGGGTGGAAGAAAAAAAAATTTCCAGAATTCACAATCAGGACTTAGCAGCGTCCATGTATACATATCAACTTCCATGCTCTCAACTCAAGGAATCACAAGATAGCAAGATAGGATCGATCGAACTGTCATTCTTTAAAGGAAGAAGCAAGCCCTGATTGCCACCATAACCCACCAGAAAACATGAAACATCTCCCCCAAATTCGAAGTTTTGGGGTTGTTAAGAGTTTTAATCGGTCACGCAGATCAAATTCAATGGAACCCAGAAAGATTGATCGGATCAAAAGCATCAGCAGGAAATGGGAACATCGCAGAAGCTAAGCATGCCAACAGTCAATAAAACGGAAGGAAAGAAGAACAAGCAACCACAGAGAAACAGGATAATTTTGAAAATGGAGGAGTTCGTACCAGAGATTAATTGGATAATTCAGCAGAGCAACCGCCTCCTTTTTTCTTGTTAGGGCGTCGGTAGATAATCAAAGATTATATAGGAAGGATACGAATTTGAGGGAGACGCGTTAAAAAACGAAACAAGCGTGTTGTGATCAGCCCCCCGTCTCTTCTTTCTTTCTTATTCCCTCTTCTGCTTCTTCTACTGCCTGTATCCTTATTCCTGAATTCCTTACCCATTACGATTCGCGCGCGGTTGCGTGATGTCATTGTCGGTCCCGTCTATTTTGGTTTTCATTTTTGCCCACTTATCTATTTAGATTTTCCCTTTTTTTTTAATTTGGAACCTTGAAAATTAAATACTTGATAAAATAATAAAAAGAGAATAAACGAGTAATTTTTTTTATGTTATTTCGGGTTGAAAGTTGGGATTGTTTTTTTGCATTCATTCTTTATGTGATGTGATATAAACTCTCACCCAAAATGAGTGAGTGTTATATCTAAATTTTTAGTTGATGGGTCATATACAATCATACATATCAAATGCGTTATTTTACAAAGCAACAAAATTATCAATACATGCATAACATCGTACATGTATTCGCCACAATACATCGCTCATCACACCGGTGATACACTCACTCCCAACTCCCAAACGACCTCCTCATTTGTTTCCTTTTCTTAGTAACTTGAAATTATACTGATCCCTTCGGGGTCATCCGATAAAATTGGAAGTTGGAACGATACATAAAAGATTAGCATGACTCATGTACAAGGATGATACACATAAATCAGAAATATACTGAAAAAGTAAATAATAGAATATTTTGTATGTTTATTCATTTTATATAAGCTTTGACTTTAATAGTCAAATTTTTTGATTGTATTCGTACGGTAGGTTTGTGCAACACGAATAATAAACATTTTGTTGGCATAAAAAAATAAAATGAAATTTGAGCGGAGTGGGCTGGTTTGGGCTTTCAATGGACTTAACTGTGGGGCCTTGGGAAAAAAATAAAGTTACCACAAAGTCTTTTCACTCTCGGGCTTTGGTCTTGGTTAGAGTGCGCAACTAGTTGGTCCGCACCGAATTGAAATGGACCAAATTGACGCTTAGACGAATTATACCGAACTGAGTATAACGTGATCCAGTTTTTGATTTCATGAATTTTATAAATACTAAATGAAAATGAATTGAAATTGAAAATTTGAACGGACCAAAGGGGGCTGAATGCAATGTTGGTCCAATCCTTGGTCCTAAAATGTCTTTCGCTATTGGATTGCGTTTCTCATTTTTTTTAATCTGGGAACGGACCAAAGCGGACTGAATACAATGTTGGTCCAATCCTTGGTTCTAAAATGTCATTCTCTATTGAATTGCGTTTCTCATTATTTTCCCCGATCTGTACGACTGTACCAGACCGGACTGTTGCACAACCCTAATCTTGATAGGTGTTTATTTAATATAAAAATGTTGGAGTTCAAACTTCTAAACAAGACTAGCACTGGCCCGCCCCGGTTGTGCGGGTAACTTATGCATAATCGTATCATTTGATAAATGTTGAAATATAAACCAAATTGAAAATAGTTAATTTCTTTTGGTAACTTTTGTAATAAAATGGTGATTGTACAAAATTTTAGCCCAAAAAATGTGTCTATGAATACCTATGAAAGTTTTATCTAAAATGGTTGTATGGAAGTGTTTATGGGAGAAGCCGAAATTAAACTTTCCATGCAGATAGAGCCACTCAATATTTATTATGAAGATGAATTAAAAGAATTTATTTCTAATTTTACAAACAACAATAATAAGCAATAACATCCCTAATGTATTGAAAAAATGTTATATGATATGAACGGGAAAAAGTAATTGGAAATAAATACTTGGGCCACTAGTCTAACAATCTTATTGATTTTCAGCCCATTGAAGAATGAGACAATACTTGAGCCACCGGATTGAATGACCAAGGAAGTTGCACCAAAGCCGAAGCGTGTACTCGTCATTCACGTACCAACAATCGATCGACTTCCTTCTGGCTTCTAATCATATTTTAGATTCTCACTAGTTCTACTTTATCTTCCCCGGTGCTCCAGCGATTCCTTCTAATCATATCTCTTCATTCTCACCAATTTGAGAATCCATAGCAAAAAAACTACAAACTTGAGCTTCCTTTTGGCTTCATAATCTCTTTGCTGCAAATCGCATAAAACGCCTATACCAACTGCCTTTAGCTCATTGTTCGATCCCCTCTGTGCTTCAAGGTAGTAGTACAACCAGCAAATTGAACATTCACAAATTTCATATTCCTGTATTTTCATATTATTGTGGGAATGCTTGTTTTTCTTTTGTAGTGTTAGCTCGTAATTTTGCTTCTAGGTAATTGTTGAAGACAGAATCCAACCATTCCTATCACTTTGTCCCTTGGCCAGGATACTAAGATCTATTTATGAAAGAACTTATCATGCATAAAGTTGAGAGGTTGGTTGTGTATGATGAACTTCACCAACTAAATCTGTCATAATAATGAATGAATGTGAGTTTTACAGTATGCTATAAAAATTGTCTATTATAAGTGCATACAATTCCTTCCCAAAAGTAAATAAAACTCCAAAATGTAAACTCCAGCCATACCAAAGTTACCCAAAAGACATAAATCTAGATAGCAAGGCTTCCCTATAATTGAAATAGATTTAGTAATGTAAAAAATAGTAGAGTAATTGCTAATTAGCGGAAAATGCAATATGGACATGGTCTGTTATTGATAAATGGCCAGAAGTACTAATGAAGGATGTATAAAGAAGGCTAAAGGCCTAGTTTGGGAATTTTTTTATTGCCTACGTACAGTACTTTTGGTGCAAATAATATGTCTAACAAAATTTTTCGGGCTCTAAATTTTCAATTGCCAAATACACACACATTTCCAAAGAGATACTAAATCTCAATTTTTTTCTTCACTTTACTTAGTTCTAAAGTTATTGTTGACATTGTTTGTTATTACTGCAAACTATAGAAAAGACTTTTTAGCTATTAAGTTAATCAAGAATGATTTTATAAATGAGTGTTTAGTTGTATACATTAAAAAAGGTTTGAGTCTCAAAATAAACAATGAAAGCATTTTATAAACCTTTTAGAAAATGAGTCGTCACACGTTGATGTGAAAAACTACTTATTAATTGAAATTTCATTATTATTTTAGAACATTTTATTTTATTTTTACCAAATGGCGCATTTCTCTATAAATATGATTTCACAAATATAGACCGTATGATGCTCGCACTTGTGCGCGAGCCCATGAAGCATGCATGCTTATACGGGGTCGATCCACATATATTGTCTTCATGTATGCGCTAACAGTGTCGTGCTAGATCGACCATGTGCCTAGGTATAGTTATATGCATTATAATAATTAAGTTTCTACTCTTACAACATCAAGATAAAAAAATATTCATAAATGTACCCAGTATTCGATTTTGACTACCTGATGAAATATTACATTTGAACCAACTAACAATGATGTCACAAGTAATAAGTATACCTCTAATTCATACATAAAATACTTCAAGCATAAAAATATTAAGATTAAATGAACTATTATAAAGAGTAAAAATTGTATAGTGAGGTTAATTATAACTCATTCATATGTTAATGCCCTATAAGTTAATCAACACATCCAAAAATGAAGAAATGAACATCACATTAAACACCACAATTACTTGAACTTCCTCGTTGGGAGAGCGCGAGAAGATTGTAAATCTATTGATGTTTTTCTAGTTCTGTTCCGGGGCCAATATCGTCTCATTATTGTAGGGTCCATTTATGCCAGATTATCAAGAGGTTTAATGTTTAGCAGTTAACCATGCTAAAATTTTAGAGAATCATTCACCTATAGTTTGTACAAAATAATAATGTTTCATAGTAGTTCCGAAAATTTATATTAATTTAAAGAATTCTACTTCGCTTTTTCATATTCAATACTGCATTCAATATGTAATATTTCAAGCAATGTAATTTTGGTTGGAATTTTAAAATTATCTGAAATTTTATAGGTTATAAAAAATTTAATAGGCTAGCTAACCGTGATGGAAAGGTCCTCTGCTTTTCAAATCTTCACTTGGTGTATGTTTAAAATTTAAGAAGATAAAACAAATCTTTTTAGTGTAATTGGTTGTGATTATTGTTTTTGTTTGAAAAGACCATGGTTGAAATCTTGATATTGATACTTTTTATATGAAGTAGATAAATAATTGTGATGAAAAACTTACTCTTCCTACTTTCACTCTCGATTTATGAAATATGAAATGTAAAATGTTAAAACGTTAAATATATCTTGTAGAAAGAGCTTCTTCAACCAAGTAGAAAGGATATTTTACCTAAAACTATTATATCTTACAGAAAGTGATTAATTGTGAAATTGAAACTCAAATAATATTGATTCAAACATTATATATAAAATTATATGTTGTGGTTGAGTTTAGACAAAATCGATATGTGTAACAAAAAAATACTTTTGTAACAAATATAGTAATTTTTGTGACAATTTACTCATAATACACAGATAAATTGGGCGCAATGACGAAAAAGAGCTTCCTATAATCACTTTTAGACACAAAATTTGAAATGAGACTCTCATTTTCCAATTTATCATTATATTATGTGTATATTTGTCACAAAAAATGAATATACTCGTCACAAAGGTCAATGTGTCGGTTACACTTCTGTATTTTTTCTAAACTAAACTACACATACAATTTAATATTAATGTTTGAATCAATGTTATTTGAGTTCCGATTTCAAAACTAATCTTTTTTTATAAAATATAAATAACTTAAGATAAAATATAAATATAGAAGCATCATCACCAAATATATTTCTAGAGCTTAATAAAAAAAAAATAAAATAAAAATAATGTAGCCTAGTTGGTTAAAATGCTCTTTCTTCATCTGAGTGACCAATGTTCGAACCTTTATTATGACATTTTTAATATCTAAAGATGAACTGGGTGCAATGACAAAAATGACCTTCTTAAAATCGCTCTCAGGCCTCGAAATTTGAAATAGGATATTCCAACCCATGTTTTCCCATTATATATGTTGTATAAATCAAATAAAGTAATTTACGAATATCTAATATCTTGTCTTGCACAATTTCAAGCCTCCAATAATGGTCAATTCGATCCAAATATATATCGAATTAGATAGGATCAAACAAAATTTAAAATAACGAGGCTTAGAATAAAATATAAATGTTTTTAGTTTATTTGATTCAAATAATTTGGTATAAATTTGATTTCAATCAATTTTTTATATTTAAAAAAATTCATGCAATGGATATTGAATCATAACATTTTTTACCCAATTCAATTTGATTAGAATATCAATCCTAACCCATCCATACCTACAACCATGTAAATTGGTAAAATGAAAAAAAAAACAAATAGGATATTTGACTCGCCTATTGCTTAACTACTTATTTCAACCATGCCAAGTGCAACCAATGATCAGGTATAGCATAGCGGAAGTAAAGTTTAATTATCGATTCGTGCGACAAACGTACTATTACTTCGCGTACTCCTTGTTATTTAGGGGTCGTTTGGAAGTTGGGAGTCTAGATGAATGATTCTATGAATGTGTGTATTGTCTACAATCCATCGTTCTTTTACACTAAAATTGTATAGAATACTTGTATTTGAAATGGGTGTTAGAATCTCAAATGAAAAGAATAGTTGGTTTTAAAATCTCAGCCAAAAGGTAAGATTCTATCTTTTGATTTTGCAACTTATTTTTCTTCCATTTTTATCCTCGTTCATTTTCTATATTCCAGCCATACCCTTTGCTTTATTGTTATGTGTGAGCCTCCCTTTTTACGTTGGAAGACACCCAACTTACTCCATCTTCTTGCTTTGTCTTCTCCTTGGTTTCCAAAAGAGAGGTAAGTTTCTATTTTGTTCATCTTTTCATCTTCCAATTAAGCAAATCTTGATTTTCATCATCTTCTTCTCGCTTTCCATCCCCATCTTTTATTTCTTCTTCTCCTTGCTTTTTCTTTCGCTTTGCTCTTCTTTTACTTGCTGGTTTTGTTCTACGCTTTCTTTTTTCCTTCATTCCTTATGTGCCTCAATTAGGTATTTTATAATTATAATTTTGTCACCGATAGTTTTAGGAGCATTCGCAATGAATGAGGGAGTTCTTGGGAACTGACATATCATCATTCATCCCACTGGCAGGCTCCATTCATGAGAATTTAATGTGTTCATACTTCTGGAATTTGCAGAGATAGTGATTTTTGGAACTTCCAACGATGGCAAGGAGCCCCATACGAAGAAGGAAAGTAATAGCTGCAGTAGTTTCTATGTACTTTCATATATTGCTTCAGCTTTTCAAGTTAATTATCCATCTATGTGAAGAACTTGAACGACAAGAGTTTGAATCAATCGAACATGTGTCTGCTTGGGAGACACCTCTTGCTTGAAAAAATGCTAGGAATTCATTTATGAATTGTATCACTTCAGCCGGCGATATCTCCTGCACTATGTTAGTTAGAATGAATGTTCAGACGTACAACAAGCTTTGTAAGCTTCTAAGAGATGAGGCAGGGCTAAGGTGTACTTGGAACATAGAGATAGATGAGATGGTAGCCATGTTCCTCTACATCATAGCTCATAATGAGAAGAATCGACAGTTGCGAGTTATATTTCGTCGTTCAGGAGAAACCATTAGTAGGGTATTCAAAAAGGTGCTCCTTGCCGTTTTGAAACTTCACAAGCTTCTACTTCGCAAGCCTGATCCGATTCCACCAAATTCAGGGGACCCCAAGTGGAAGTACTTCAAGGTGACTCTGTTATGATAAAAAGTGTTCAGATTCTATTTGTGTCTATTTGACCTATATATTTATTAATGTATGTAGAATTGTATTGGTGCACTTGACGGAACAATCATAAGTGTTAGAGCTACTAAGGAGAACCAGGAACGATATCGTACTCGTAAGGGAACGATAGGTATGAATGTCCTGGGTGTTTGCAATCCAAACATGGTGTTTATCTATTGTTTGGCTGGTTGGGAAGGGTCAGCGCATGATGGGAGGGTGCTAAGGGATGCTCTTTGCAGGCAAAATGGTTTGAAAGTCCATAGAGGTAATCCTAATTTGTGAATTGAATTTATGTTAGGCTGTATTGAATTTCTAGTTATATGAATTTTGTTTTTGCATTTGTTTCCTAGGGAACTATTAATTATGTGATGCTGGATATAGTAATTGTCAAGGCTTCTTAGCACCTTATCGTGGACAGTGATATCACCTAAAAGAATGGGGAAGAAATAGGCCTAGAAGTCCGGAAGAGATATTCAACATGAGGCATGCAACTGCAAGGAACGCTATAGAGCGAGCATTTGGTATACTAAAGATGCTGTGGGCAATATTAAGGGAAACAACATGGTATTCAACTCGAATGGTTGCAAAGATTGTCAATGCTTGCTGTCTACTTCATAATTATATTAGAGGAGAGGTTGGGGCTGATGTATTTGAGCGGCTCTATATTGATGAAGAACCAGATGTTGAACCAGAAGTTATGGATGATGACTTGATTATGCACATTCAACCATCGGCCGAGAGGACACAGTTTAGACAGCAACTGGCTCAAGATATGTGGACCAATAGGGGTTGGGTTGGTAATTAATTATGTTAAAGCATGCAGCTCAAATTATCTTTATATTTTGTAAATTATGTGAGCTGTACAACTTGCTGGATTAGCTTTCTAGAACTAATATCCAATTAACCTTTTGGAATAGAATCCTCATTTTGTGATATGGTGTACTTTATCATGGTAGGTACATTCATGAAGAGAAAGAATCGTGTACCTCCTTATGCCTTTTGTTGGTATTACATTTAAGTATCTCATAGCAGGTTATTAAATAGTTGCTCTTGGGGTGGTTGGTAGTTCAATCTACTTTTTTTTGGTATTCAATTCTATTCTCTAATGCTTTCTGGTGGTATTTAATAGGATGGTGGAGGAGTAATTGTGTTTATTTATTATGTATTACCTCTATATAATGCTTCTAATGCATACCAACGAAAGATGAACTAAAGTAGTTTGCACTATCTCTTTCTGAAGTACTTCAAGCTGCAAGGTCCATACTAAACTTGTTTTAATCTTTTATAAATGTCATTTTCTTAACTTTACTGCATCCTGATAAATTGTTTTAACGTTTTTGGGTGAAGAATGTCTTAAGAAAGTCAATCTAGAGCTTCCTCCAAGAAGTCTTCAGCAACTGTCAAGACACCAAGGGGGTATGCTCTCTGGAATGCAGCCTATGATGTTGCCCTTGTTTAATCCATGCTTGAACTCGTACAGTATGGAGCAGTTGAGTCTGGAAACTTCAAGAATGGAGGTTTCAACAAGCTGGAGGCTCTGATGGTGAATAAGATACCTGGTTTTCCACTCAAGGCTAACCCTCATATCAAATCAAGACATCGGTTCTTCAAGAGCAAATATGTAGCCATATGTGAAGTTCAAACTGGGAGCTGTAGTGGGTTTGGATGGGATGAGTCAAGGAAGTGTGTGGTGGCTGATGATGATGTCTTTAAGAAATGGCTTAAGGTAAATCTTGCATCCAGTTATGAATGGAACTATCTTGTGGGCTGAGTTTGTTTAACTTATACTCTTGTTATCTTGTAGTCACATCCTAATTGTGCAGGCCTCAACAAGAAACCTTTCCACCACTTTGATCAACTAGCAAGGATTTTTGGGAAGGCTAGAGCAATGGGTGGTGAAGGTGAAGCTACTGCCAATGTTGATGATTCGGACACTGATGACGAAGCCATGAATGTCATGAACGACATGGATGATGAAACTAGCCAGCGGGTGTTGGAACAAATGATCAATGAAGGCGTTAATCACAGGACCATACTGCAAGAGCAACAAGAATCTGGACTTACAAGGACATCTCCTCCAACTGGAAACAATAAGCGAGCTAGGAATGAAGCAGCCAAGAGTGCTATTGCAAGTGAGATATCAAAGTTGCAGCCTATAATGGAGCAAACTACTATGAACATTGAGAGGATTGCAAATAGCTTCTACAAAGATGATGAGCTAACAGTGAAACGGGAAAGTTTGTATGATGAGCTGTCAAAAATGGAAGGACTAACAAGTGACCAAGTCATCTCAGCTGCGATGCTTCTTTTCAAGGATGACAGGATGGCACAACTGTACTATCAGCTGCCAGAAGTAGAGAGAATGACTTTTCTTCTTCGGATGATCAACTGAAGTATGTCATATGAGGAATCAGATTGGTTGGGGGTACTTATCATGGAATCAATATGCATGGATTAGTATTGTTAGGAGTAGTTGTTGCTTGAATATGGCTATCTGGTATTTTGTAAGTAGTCTATAATGGCTACTCTTGGATGACTATTAAGTCTCCACATTTTGTTGGAAAACTATTAGGACCGGAATTAATATTGTAGTAGTCATCTTAGGTGTAGTTGTGGCAAGAACATGGATCTCTCATAATTTTGTAAGCGGTCTATAAAGGCCGCCCTTGTGATATATGATGTTTGGTTGGAACGGCTTATTGTTAATGATCTTTGGTGAAGGCTGCCCTTTTGTCTTTTATTAATGATTAAAATATAAACCTTAAGGCTATTTGAGTCTTTTTTATGGATAAAGTTACAATCATTCATTTTATTGAAATGTGAAAAGAGTAACAACCAAACAATACATTCTTGGAATCATTTATTTCTTACAATCATTCTATCTAGAATGCATACATTCAAAGAATTCACACATTTAAAGACTCTCAACTTCCAAACGACCCCTTAGTAAATTGATGTTTAAATTAACTAATCAACTACAAAGCAAACGAAAGAAAGTTTGATAAAAAACTACCGAGAGAAAGTCACTCGGGTGTAATTTCCTTCTAGCTACAAAATAGACAGATGAATGACGTTCCAAGCTTGCCAACTCATGATTTATACTGTTGAGAATCCTAATCCTGCTTGATCCCACTCTCGAGTTATTAAAGCTCACCTAGAACGGACTATCTGGGGGAGGATTTTCCACATCCAACATAATAAAAGATTTAGGCAATTCCAAATAGATTTCCACTAATGGATAATGATCCAATACGACATTGTAGTATGATTTCATGCTCGATCCATCGACTTACAATGAAAAATTAGGTAATTAATCTAATTGAATATTCTCTACCTTAGATTAATAATAATAATTGAAAAGTTTGATCAATACCCAAACCAATTCCATGAAACACCTCAATTCTATATGTAATCAAAAGTTCAAACTAGCAAAGAAATCATTCATCATCTAATCTAACACATATAGATAGAGTTCTACAACACCCAAGGGAAATAGGATTTAGTTCATAGTGATAGAGAGAGAGGCAAACTCAAATATACATAAAAAAGAAAGCATCATTTGGGAAGGAGTTCTTGCTCTTGATCTTCAATCTCCAACCCTTGATGATAGGATTAACCTCAAATGATGGATTGAAGCTCCAATTCACCACCTGAGGATCTCCTTTGTCACTTTCTCTCTCTACACAACAACTCCCACTTTCTCACTCTAGGATCCTTAAAAAAATATGTTTTCAGTTCCTATTTATAGCCAAACAGTGCAAATTTCACGGTTATCCATCACAGTCGTGAGAATTACAGCCAAACTGTAAGGTTGACACAAAGTGCATCATTTCACTTACAGACTTCACGGTTTATGTGCAATTGTCACGGTTTGAAACTGTGAGGTTTACAGGAGCCATCAAGATTCAAATGCCTTCTGGAAGTGTGCAATCTTCACGGTTTCTTTGTGAATGTCACAGTCTAGCCGTGAGAATTTGCTCTAAACCATGACTTTTACACATTTTCTTCATTTTATCGTGGGTTTTGGCTCTCAATGATCCGACTCTCGCTCTTTTTGCCAATTTCTCCTGCTAGGACGTGAAATGCATTAAACCAAGCAAAACCTAGCATAAAACGGCCTCAAGAATGACGAATCACACGTCAAACTATTATGTAAAAGGGGTACAAATGTGTATAATTAAACCCAAATTCATATTTATACAAAATGTGAGTTTATTATGAAATAGAAAAGTGTTACAGAGTTTGGACCATCGTCCAGGAAGGATAGAAGCCTTCAACAACAAACACAATCGTAGCCCATATAGAAAAGAAGTCGACAAAGGAAACTAAATGGCCAATACTACGGTGCCGCTAATAAAAGTGTAGCATCGGCGCCGCTGCTTTTTATTGGGCCACGTGGCAGCTCATGTGGCTTGATTGTGTTTCAAAACCCAACCCAAATTGTATAAACCCATCAACCGGATTGGCCAAAAATAAACTAATTCCCCCCCCCCCCGAAACCAATCAACTGGATGTGCCGGTGAAGTTCTTCGCCATCGCTTCCTTCACCGTCTTCCTCCTCAAAATCGCCCTCAGCGTCCAGTTTCACTCCGATGATTCGATCAAGCCTCAGATGTATGCACGATTTATTTTACGACCGCTATAGCGCTATCAACATAGCAATCCACGGAAGTCTGTTAGCCTGAAATTTGAGGTATTGCTGGGCAGCGGCTTCTCTGGAATCAGAACTCTAGTCTGGAATCCTGCAATTTATGAAAATCTCAGATGAAAATTCGTCGTCGGTTATGCGATGAACGCGACTCCTTTGCTTTTAAGCTTGTTGAATGCTATCCATTTGTGGCAAACCGAAATCTCCTGACTATCTACGACCATGAAAACGACATGCAGGTCTTCCTTGGAGTGTCGTAACAAATCTGAAAATTCATTACGTTGCTTCCATATAGCAAAATGCACTAGTTTATGAATGCTTTTGTTCTTAAGTTCAATAATAAACCTGGTTGTTAATAAGTTGCAAAACAAAGGGGATACAAAAATCTTCCACTCGGCATTAGAAAAAAAAATCTTCCCACTCCTTTCCAAGTCATTTAACCCAGGAGCTCATGAATTAGAGCAAGGCCCCATGTTGATGGAGTTTCAAACTCCAAGGTGATGGTACCAATGAGATGAAACAAACCACACAAGCAAAACTAGTATGATTAAAATGGTTGTCGTCACATTTGTCCCTGGCTTCGAACATTAGAAAATCCCCTGGGTTTGTAGTTGCTTCACCATGTTCAAATTGTTTTAAATTCACTAAGATCAATACCAACTCAAACAAGGCAATGGACACTGAATATAAATAAACTTGTATTCAACTTCATAAGAAGGCAGCCCGTGAATGTACAAGCCTTTCCAAAAACATATTACTACAACTAATTATAAACTACTACACATAGACTTAACTATTGCGAAAAGAGAAAGAAGCTAGCCCAAAACTTAGGCTTTATAACATGTTGGTGTTTAAAACAATGACAACAGTAGCAAGTTTCTTGTATAGTCGATTGTGCTTTCTATTGGTTCTACTCCAGCTTGACTTGTTCTACTTTAGAAGCTAGCTAGTTTGTTGCCTCATTGAATATGTAATGCTTCTTCGACTATAACAGCCAACGATTCAGCAGATTCTAACAACATCAGGCACTCTGCAGCATCCAAGACCGTGTGAATCTGTGTAATTATAGGAGCTATAACGCCCTGCACACACCATAATAACAAAGCATATGACATAATTTAGTCTGCTAGTCCATACATTCATATCAAGTATCAATTGTGTTGGATATGTTTCAGTCTTGAAAAATTACGGCTCGTCCTTCATAATGCAAGTTCAAACAAGCATGTCCTATACACACCCAAAATGTATTATGAAAGAATCACCATTCAAAATTTCCAATCCATACACTAACTCCAGAACCATGAATGCAAAGCAAATGCAGACATCAAACAAAGCTGCAGCAGAGGACCTACAATTCCACCATGGATCATGATCTCCTCAAGAAACCTTCTCACTCAAGTGCAGCTGACTAACAAAACTCCCCTTCCCTTCCTTTTTTTTCAACCACTTTTCTTCCCAACTTTAAACTTGGCATCCTGTTTCTGGACACTTACATTAAACATATCACATTTTTTCTCTATAAAAGAATGATTAAAAATAAAATTAAGAGGGAAGGCTTTCTTTTTCAACCACAATGACTCAGACTTTTCACACACTCAATCTCAACCAGACAGACACCACCAACTTTCTCCTTGCTGTCGACCATAAAGGAAGAGAAACAATTGATGGGGAGGAACCATCTTTATGCAAAGAATGAGAGTAAAATACATATATTTCCCAGTAACTCCACACAGCTCGGATAGCTTGTTGCATAATCATCATCGACTCATCGCCATATCCCTGAAAATCGTAAATAAAATATTTTCTTGTTCAATTTCATGATGCGAAGATCGATTGCATTGTCATCTGCGGCTGGGGGAGTAGCAAAGACCAAGTTGAGGCTAATGTCTCTCGTGGAAAGGTATGGTTGAGGTGCCTTACCAGATTAACCAGTATACTTCCAGTCAATTCTTCGAAATCATAAACTTTCCGCTTTTATCTATCTCAAGAACATGTTTTGCGCGATTGGATGAAGAAAAATTATAGACTGTAGGGTAGAGATAGGGGAGCGATGGACGGAGGGGGAGGGTGACACTACCAGAAAGCCTTTTGAATCCATTGGCAAAAGTCGCTCTGCAACTCCATTCAGCGAGAGTTGAGGGGGCGACTCGAATATGTTGAGAAAGCAAATATCAAACTACAATCAACGAGAGTGAGAGGATCGACGGAGAGGGAGGAAAATTTCCCTTTGCTATGATCAGTTCGACGAAGACGGATTAGTTCCAGGGATTTCTCCACGAAACAAAACCAGAGAAGGCAGCAGAAAAAAAAACATGTACGAAAGAGAAAAGGAAAAAAGGGATATTAAATTGGTCGATTGTAAAGGGTTGAACCAGATTTCGGTTTGCGTAACTTGGGCTGGGTTTGATAAAGATATTTAATGCGATATGGGCAGCCACATGGTCTAATAAAAAGAGTGCCGCACTTTTATCAGCAGCACTATAGTATTGGCCAAACTAAATAACATAAAGTAAAATAAAGCCCAAAAGCGCACATTAAACCCAAACACGAAAACAATCCCCACATAAACCCTAGCCCACGAAAGTTAAAACCTATCAAACCATAACCAGTGATTGAATGTGCCACCGACAAACATCACTGCAACCGTGACGCCACACCTGCAACGCCATTCCTGTTAACGACGAACTCACCACCACCAATCCCACAGGTGAAAATCACCATTGGTCACTATACTTGCTTAATTA